ACCGGAGTGCATGAAGATATGTTTCCAAGCACTATACAATGTTACCAATGAAAGTGCCTGTGAAATTCAAGAGGATAAGGGTTTGGAACAAGTAGTACACCATCTGAAGAAAGTGGTATATACACATTTCCCACCCTTTTTGTGTATTATATAGTTGTTTTATTACCCCCTTTTTCTGTGGACTGAATTTTTCTCCCAACAGTGGGCAGATTTTTGCAAAGCAATGTTTGTAGAAGCAAAGTGGCATCGTGAAGAACACACGCCATCCCTGCAAGAGTACCTGGATAATGGATGGATATCATCAGCAGGCACAGTGCTTTGTGTCTATTCATATTGTTCTCTGATGCATGATGTTCCAGATCAGGAGATGACAACTTTACTGGAAAAAAATCAAGATCATATGAAAAATGTATCGCTGATAATTCGACTTTGCAATGACTTAGCCACATCAGTGGTAATTTTCCTTCTAATAAATATTTTGAACTTTCATTTTCATTGAAAACAACTGTTAAATAATATTGAATTTTACTAATTAACAGGCAGAAAAAGAGAGAGGCGATGCTCCTTCATCTATCCTGTGTTACATGAGGGAAATGAATGTTCCAGAGGATGAAGCTCAGAAGAACATCAAGGGCATTATAAACAAGACATGGAAGAAATTAAACAGGCAATGTTTCACTCAATTCCCCTTTCTGCAACCCTTCGGTAGAATTACCACCAATATCGCTCGCATGGTACACATCCTTTACCAATATGAAGATGGTTTTGGTGTTCAAGATCGCCAGACTAGGAAGCAGATACTATCTTTGCTAGTTGAGCCTTTTGAAACTTAAATAAATTGCAAGGCATTGTTAATTTCTTAGGGCATGTCCCGCATTATAATCAAGTCAATAAAGATTATGTCAAGTGCTGGTTCATAACGCGTATCCAGTTGTTTACTTAATTAACATTGTAACTCTCTTGCTTTTGGTATTAAAATCTTGATTTCATGATTAAGGTCAAAGATTAAAATCACGTTGTGCAATAATAATTATAAAAAAACTAAATTAATTATATCCCAAATGAGAGAGAAATTGGGGATTATATTAAGTATGATGAAAAAATTCTTAACATGGGAGTTTTTTCTTTATTTTATTTTTTTTTTCTGGCCCAAAAAAATCATATGAGTGAGTTAAACGGATATGTCTTGATCAGGAAGTGGTCCTTGCTGAATTATGTACGGAAAAATATATGCTTCAAAGAGATGCTCGAATTCTTCCTAGTGTCTTTCCAATAAAAGATGATATCTCTTTGGTGAAAAAACATATTGAAAAATATATTTACTTCTCTACTTTTACCTTTTATTTTATTTATTTATTATTGAAATAAACTCTTATCATTTTTCTTAAATAAATATCTTTTCATACTTTGAAGTTGAATAAAATTAACTTTTTATATTTTGATTGAAATAAATTAATTAAAATTTAAGAGATAATATAATCACACATTTATTTTGTCACTATTATTTAATATCTATTAAGTTCTTATTGATTTAACAATCTTGGACCAATTTTTTAATGACATGGTATTTTTTGTATAAGTAATTAACTGAGATTGATTAACTATTTATTCGGTAACTAGTTTGATATTAAGAAAAAAATTGTCATATCATAAAAAAATAGACCCAAGAGTGCCAAATTGGCAAGAACTTTATGGGCATTAAAGGGAAAAGTCTAGATAATGACTTAGGACATCATTTATTAAATTGTAATTAATTTATTTTAACTAAAATGTAAGAAAATTAATATTAAAAGTATGAGGGGTGATTAATTAAAAAAATATAGTAACTTATTTCAA